CTTGGCGAGGGGCGGCCCTGGCCTCGTGGCCTCAAAGGTTGGCAGAGATCCGCAGCCCGAGCGTGAAGGTGCTCCGTGTGGAGCGCGGCGAGCAGGAGGAGCTCACGGGAGGAGGGGGGCGGCGAAGGCCGCAGCAGCAGGCCGCGGCTGGCGACATCTGGCCCCGCTGGCGCCCGCCGCGGCTGCTTCCACCGGGCGGCCCACCCATCACCGGCTTCCCCCTCCTCATAATCCTCCTTGTCCTCCTCCTCCTCCTCCTCCTCCTCCTCCTCCTCCCCCTCCTCCTCCTCCTCCTCATCCTCCTCCCCCCCCTCAGGAGGACACGTGGCCGTGACGTGCATCGCATGCTGCTCAGGGCCAACCACGTTGACGAGCATGGAGCGCCCAGGCAAGCAGCGGCGCTGGTCGCTGGAGACCCATTGGCCCAAAAGCTGCCCCGCCGTTGTTCCCTGCAGGCCCCAGCGTGGACTCTCTCGGATGCGTACATCAAGGATCGCGGCCAGGTGCCCTCGGCTGTGAAGAGATCCCCGAGCTCTGAGAGGCATTCCGCTGAGCGCTTCGGCATGCAGCGCAAGACGCCAAGGTCACACACCCGCGCAGGCGTTGGAAATTCTGAGCTTCAGGGCCGCAAGCGGAGAGGAAGTCCCAGGCGAAACGCCGGGCCCGCCCTACCGACGCGTCTGGTGGTCAGACGAGGAGGAGCTCCCGAAGAAAGAAAAGGACGGAGGAGGAGGAGCAGGAGGAGGAGGAGGAGGAGGAGGGAGGAGGAGGAGGGAGGAGGAGGAGGAGGAGGAGGAGGAGGAGGAAAGAGGAGGGGATGGGGGCGCGCAGCGCACCTGTGTCCACTGGGGCACGGGGCCTGGAAGGCCGGCGCGGGCGGGCCGGAGCCCGCAGCTGCAGACGCGGAAATCGTGGTCAGTGCTGTGCGTGGAGTACAATCAAAACGTATGTTAAGGACGCGTGGTAAGGACGCAAGACCCTTGGAGGCTGAAGTTGGGATTTTTTGGGCGGCGGCGGACGGGCCATAGAGGCAAGGACGCAAGGGTATCCTAGATGAAGTCGCGCGTCCTTACTACGCGCGTTGACTGTAAGACATCTATAACTGTATTGCTCTATTTCTTTCTTTTTTTATAAAAATGGGGTGGAGTATGACATATGGTTCTGGACTGCTTGCTTGCGTGCTGCCTTGTGTGAACGCAGGACCATCGTCCCCTGCCCGATTGTCTGCTGCCAGAAATCGCGCGAGATCGTCTTCCCACCGCTTTCTCTGAGCCCCGTGCCTGCGGAGTGCTTGTCGGTGATCGTGAATGTCTGGCCCCCACGTTGCAACAAGTCGGGCCCATCTGTTGTATGGGCTGATTGATGATTCGCCCTGTCCACCGCCACTTTCGCCGAAAGTGATCTACGAGCCCTTGTTGCAAGATCTGTTGGTGTGTAGCTCTGCGGATGAAATCTTCCCACGGATCGAGTTCGGATGTGCCATGTGTCGTAGTCCAAGTTCGTGTCTGTTTTGTTTCTGTCGTCTACATGCGTCTCTGCATCGCTGTATCGGAGCTGCTGGCGCCGTCGATAGTGGCGCCATTGAGGTCTGCTCGACGTCTCGGGGTCTTCACGACGAGCCGTAGCATTCATCGTTGAGTTCGCCTCAGCGTTTGGAGCATGTCGCTGGTCAGCGCCCAGGAAACGCAGCCGTACATGACAGTTTGCATCACTGTCCCGCTGAACAGACGAAGTCTGCTGTGTCGTGGGTACCGCCTTGTTCGTGAGCTCGTCGCGGAGCAAGTTGAATCTTCGCCATCCAGACGAGATTGTTGGTGAGTTCCGCCTGGTGGTAATCGCTATTGTGAAAAACGTGAGTTTCCAGCCAACGTACTTTGAAGTCTGGTGCGCGCTGAGAATCTCATGATGCCAGCAATGGCTTTGCATTTGCCGCTTTTGAGTTGCATCACTGCGCGGTGAGTTGTTTTGGTGAAATTTGGAATCCCATGGCGGGCACGATCCTGTGCATGGTCACGCTCCCTGGACGGCTGTGTGTCTGCAAGTTCGTCGGTTTCTGGGCGGCGTCGGTACAGCTCTTCGTAGAAGTCGGCGAAGATGTCTGCGCTGCGTTGGCAGTCCGTCTCACTGTCACCGTCTTTCGTGGCCATGCTCTGTCTCAAACCTTTGCTTGTTTCGGTTGTGATCTTGGATTGTTTCTTGAGGTCTCGGAAGTTGCGTTTAATATCATCTAGTCATGTGTCGCTGAGCTCGATTGCCAGCCCAGTGCTGTCACATGATGCGTTTGCTGAGGGGGTAAGGGGGAGGAGGCGGCAAGGTGGGAGGTTCTATGGGAGGGGGGAAGGGGAGGAGGAAGAGAAGGAGGAGGATGAGAAGGAGGAGGAGGGGCAAGAGGAGGAGGATGAGGAGGAGGAGGAGGAGGAGTTGCGGGGACAAGCTAGGTGCGCTCGCGTCATATCTAACATCCGACTCCTCCCTCCCATCCCTTACCATAGCGTAGATCTCCTCTCCATTCGCACAGTCTAATGTCGTAGCAGGGCATCTCATTACATGGCATAGCATGGTGTTGAAGATCCACGCGTAGCCTGACATAGCATGGCGTGGCGACGCCCCAAAGTGGGGGGGGGGCTTCTGCGGCCAAAAGAATCAACGAATCGACTCAGAATGTGTAATCACTTCCGATTGTTGTTTCGGCATGACATTCTCTAGATTTTGGAGCCTGTTTGGAAGGACCAGAAACCATGCCGTGGCATGACGCTGGAAATAATGATGCCAGCGCTGCAGCGGGAGCACGATTCGCAACGAGCGGAAGCGCGAAAATGAGGCCAGCTCAGCAGCGGGAGTACGATTCGGAACGAGCGGTAGCCCGAAAATGAAGCCAGCGCTTCAGCGGGAGCAGCATTTTGAAACAAAAACCCAAGCGACAACCCAGCTCCCGGGAATCCTGTTTGTAAACCAGCACGCGGAGGGGGGCCTAATTTTTCCCAGACGCCAGCAGGGGAGAGGAGAGTAGTATTCATAGTGTGTACCTGTGGAGGACGAGGACGAGGTGGAGAAGGATGACGACGAGGAGGGGGAGGAGGGGGGGCCAGGGGGGACAGAGGGCGCGGGGGAAGCGCGGCGCAGCCTGGTCGCCCACGCCCATCTCGTGGAGCTGGCCGAACTCCGCTTCTGGGCAGAAGCCCCTGATGTGGGAGTCCTTGCCCCCACAGGGGGGTTGGCGGGGAGGCAGCCCAGAGGTCCATGCAAGATGTTGGCCAGCCTAGGCCCCGAGCAATGGGTTCTTGCTGCTGTCTCGAGATGCAACCTTTGTGGCGCAACCCGGGTTTGGTGCAGCCGTCGTTCTGCGGTATAACTGGCGTAACCAGATCAATGCGGTACAATCTAGGTGGTGCGAACCATGTGGTGCAATCGCCGTGGTACAAGCTATGTGGTGCAATGTACTGTGGGCATCCGCGCGCGACCAGCTCCCATACTCGAGCAAACATCCCACCCACCCACCCGCAACTTCTTGACAAAACTCAGCTAGGCCGTGGGTGCAATTACCCATCGGAACTTGCTCGCGAATCTCAAATGGCGCAGCGACGCGACGACCCTGTTCACGTAGATCCATGACTCGGTCGGGCGGCTGCCGGAAGCCAGCGCGAAAAGAATCCAGTGCTGGAGTGCGCCCCTGTTTTCGGCATGGGCAGCTGGAATGGTCGCTGCTCGATGAAGTCGGGTGCTGGGGCGGCACCCCGTTCGGGACTTCAAACTTGCGACTAGGGAGGGCAGAAGGTAGGGCGCAGGGGGCGGGAGTGCTGGCCTTGTACTCACGCCTCGCTCTCGGACAGCCTGCGTGTGGGCGTGTGCAGGCGACTGGGTGGACGCGGGTGCGTGTGCGCCTGCGTGCGCGCATCAGTGTTTCATCACGTCAGGGTGAGGCGCGTGTGTGTGTGTCGGTGGGTGGGCGGGGGCGCGTGAGTGTGCAAGTGTCTCTGGTGCGTGTGCCAATGTTACGTCACGTGCGCTTGTGCCGGTAGGAGACGGGGACGTCTGAATGTGCGTGGGCACGTGATTATGTAGTCTTCGCGATCGGAAATATTCCCCTTACTGTCAGACAAGAGATCGACCCAATACTGGGCCAGAACGTCCTTCGGTCCACGAGTCCCCGACCTTCCCAGACCTTGCTTTTGGCCATCCCCATGCTACCAAATGACCCCCACCATCGCCCGCAAGACAGCCCGAAGAACTGGCAACCGCTCTTCCAAAGCGTCCACGGAGCCCTCCACGAGGCCGTGGAAGACTCAGACCATCTGAAAAGAACGGTGCCATGCCCCCCAGGCAGAGGCCCCAACAAAGCCCAAGATTGGCCTACCCGGATTGCCAGGCTCCCAGGAGGCTCCCTGTAGGCGCCAGAAGGGGTTCCCAAGAGGCATCACGATGATCGTTTAAAGTCACTACCATACCACGCTACAGCGCTGCTGCTCAGCTTCCACCATTGCGGTGGCCTATATGCGCGACCGCTCGGCTGGGTGATCTATCCTCCAATACTGCGTACTGCTCCCAGGAGGGGTGCAAAGATAAGCCACCACACGCAGCCGAGTCAAGGAGGTCGATGTCTGTCTCTGGTGTGTCTTCCAAGTTGTACCTGTCTCGCGGTAACCCGAGGAACGAGGGATACGGACGCTTTTGAGCAACCTGTCGCACATGAAAAACAACGCCCCGCCTGATGCCATCGGTTTCGTTCTGATCAGCGTCGCTCCCGTCCGTCCGAATCAATGCGCTCTGCTTCACGGGGGGCGCTCGAGAAAGGCGATAACCGAAAGCATACTATCGTATTCACCAATTCGCACGCACGTATCTGGAAAATCGCTTTGACGCATCTCACGCGGCAGACAGCCGCCGGGCCACATAGCCAAGCCATTCACGCGGTCGCGGAGCGCATTTGGACACTTCCGGCATGGTGGACGAAGCTGGCCGTCGAAAACACTGGGGCGCACGCCAGAGCTCGGCACCTAGCGGGGGCATCGACGATCCTCAGAACGCGTGTTAGCGCCTACGTATGCTTGCCCACCGAAGGCAGCGCCACGTGGGCCAACGCAGGCTGCGCACATCCACACAGCGCAGCATCGGCGGCTGCCGTGAGCAGAGCCAGCCCCAGCCCGGGCGCCAGGATTATGTCGGGCGTGTCCCCCTACAGGGGGATTTTCGACGAAAAATAAAAAAACGTAATGCCCCCAAAAGGTCAGAAAATACTCCAAAAATAGTCCCCAGACTATTTTGGAGTATTGTTGGACTATGTTTGGGGTATTTTGGTTTGGTTTTCGTCGAAAATCCCCCTGTAGGGGGACATGCCCGATTTAACGCCAGGACACGGGTGCAGGCACGATCTCGGAGGCGGCGGCGAAGGGCGCGGTGCTGCCCGCGCCACGCGGAGCGCGGGGGGGGGCTGCTCCGCGGCCGCAGGCGCCAGCAGCCTCGCTGGCGATCACGCCGCCGCCATCCTGGCAGGCGTGCCAGGACGGACGACGGCCTGCGGCGGCGGCCACCGACCCTGGGGGGGACAAAAAGCGGCACCCACACCGCGACTCCCCGGACCTCTCCAGGGATGGGCCCCGACCAGGACTTCGGGGCGCAGCCAGCCGTGGCGACGAGCGATTGGCAGCGGCATCGGTACACGTCGTTCATGTCCAATCGTGCCCATTTCTAATTCTGCTCGTTTCTGATTGTTCCTGGCCCCCTGGTGGCCAGGAAGAGGCCCAGGGTAGAACAATTAGAAATGAAAGGATCTTGGCCCCCAACAAAACTCAAAGAACTTTCGAAGGGTTAGAAGTGAACAACGGCAGCGGCAGCGGTAACCATTTGGCAGCGGCATCGGTAACCATTTGGGGGTACTTTTTGAGTATGCTTTACTCGTCGAAAATCCTCATGCAAAGGGGACGCGCCCGAATTGACCCTGGAGTGCTCCTCCCCAGAGGCCCCACGGCGCAAGGAGCGCGGCACGGCACCGGCAGCCCAGCGCAGCCGCGGCGCGCGTGCCGGTGCAGGGCGGCCGGGGGCCCGCGAGGGCCGGGCCTGGCAGCAGCCCGGCAGGCCCCGGCGGGGTGCCAGGCTTATGTCGGGCGTGTCCCCCTACAGGGGGACTTTCGACGAAAACTAAAAGATACCCCAAACATACCCCAAAAAGGTCAAAACGTACTCCAAAAATAGTCCCCAAGCTATTTTTGGACTATTTTTTTAAGGTATTTTTTTAAGTTTTCGTCGAAAATCCCCGTGTATGGGGGACTGGCCCGACATAACGCCAGGCCCGGCGGCGCCAGAGCTCACCCGCAGGCCTCGGAGAGCCAGCGCCGAGGGCTCCCACCGTGGCGCGGGCGTGGCGGTCTCGGCGAGCAGCGCCGACGGAGGGGGAGGGGCGAGGCGAGGCGAGAGGGCAGGGGAGCGAGCAGTGACAGGAGCACAATTTTGGTCGGCGGGGCGAGAGCGAACCTCTTCCGCGAAAAGCTAGGCGGGCTACGCACAGCTTTAACTAGGGAGACAGGGCACAGGCGGGCGGGGCCTCAGGCGGCCGGAGTGGGCGGGGCCCGGGGTGCAGGCGGTGCCGAAGAGCTTGCACAGGAAAAGGTACGCCGCGGACAGGGGGGTGACATAAACACAGAAGCCTGGAGGTCCGCGCGAAAACCTGGAGGTCCGCGCGGTTTTCCCGGATCGGCGCTGAAGCTCCCCTGGCGGCGCCTCCAGCGCCGCCCCTGGCGCGCTCCGCGCGCCAAGGAGGGGGGTCCAACGCCGACCGGAGAAATCCGCGCGGACCTCCGAGTTTAGTTTTACTGTTTCTGTCACTGTTTGTTCCCCTAGAGGGGCGGTAGGAGAGGGGTGGGAGCTAGAAAACCGTACGCCAAGAGCCGGTCCCGCGCACACCGGCCCAGTGCTGCGCGTCCCAGGGGCCCCGAGGTCCTCGCCGCCTCCTTCGCAGCCGACGCCCACCAGCCCCACGAAGGCGCCGTAAGGTCGGATCTCCTCGACCACGCCCTGGACGGTCTCCAGCACCGGGACGTACTTGATCCGGGATTCCTGCCGCAACGGAGCGGTGGCGGGGTCGCTGGGTGACGACAAGATGACGGCGGCGATGGCGATGACAGGGACGTCGACGATGCCGAGCATAACGACGTGATGAGGACCATATATGGCATCATTATGCTCGTGATTGTAGTGGCGATGCCGTGTTCTGGGGGCCAAGCCGCTCGTACGAGCCGACGTGGGCGCCGCAGCACGCGCGGGAGCACCTCGGCAGAAGGGCCCCCTGAGAGGCCGAGCGTGCGAGGCCGACCTTCTGGCTCGGAGCCCGGATTGCGCTACGGAGCCCGAGCAGCCTGCAGAAAGTTGCAGCCTGGACCAAGGCTCGTTTGCCCGAATGAAACTCGTCAGCTCCTCCAAGCGCGTCGCGCCGCAATACCCATGCTTTCGTGGAGGTAAACACAGCGACCAGCCTCGCCTCCTCGTCGCTTCCTCGAAGCGCGTCACTGCAATACCCATGCCTCGCGAGATAAACACAGCGACCAACCTCGCCTCCAACTCGTCGCTTCCTCGAAGCGCGTCACTGCAATACCCATGCTTCGCTTCCTCGAAGCGCGTCACTGCAATACCCATGTTTCGCAGAGACAAACACGGCGACCCACCTCGCCTCCAACTCGTCGCTTCTTCGAAACGCGTCACTGCAATACCCATGCCTCGTGGAGATAAACGCAGCGACCCACCTCGACTCCAACTCCTCGAGAGCACCTTTCTATGCGCGGCGATCACGGGCGCTCTGTGGTGGGCGGGCGGCGGGGGACGCCTCACCGCAACGCCGTGCCCCGCGCCGTGACGGACCCTGGTGCAGGACGCGCTGCGGCAGTGTCGGGGAGGGGGGGGGCACGGCTCGCTTTGTGGCCCAGAGGGCAGCACCTCACCCTGTTCTCAGGCAGGCTGCTGAGGCACAGTTAGAATGAAAGTGATGCGAGCCTTCTCTCAAACACAAATGCGCAAAAAAGTGCAGAACAAGTGCGCAAGCGCAATGTTTTCTGACGCTACGGGTCCCTGCGCCGCAGGGACCCGCAGCGTCAGAAAACCACACCCTCCTCTCCCTCCCTGCTCCCCCGCTCCCCCGAAGGTGTCGCTGCTGCCCTGCGCCGGCCCCTCTCGTGGGAGCCCCCCCTGCCCAAGAGGGCATCCGCTCGGACAGGAGGCCCTCACGGCCAGCGCCATCGCGAGGCGGGCGGAAGCGAGAAGCAGACGTGCCTTCTCGAGGTGGCGGTGGAACGAGCCAAGGGCGCTCCATATGTGACTACCTTCCAGACCACCCCAACCCAACCCGAAGACCCGAATTTCGGGTTGGGGGGGGGGGTCGGGGTTTTCTCGATGTTTTCCTCCCCCCCACACCGGAAATGGAGGGCAAATTGAGGCCTTCGGGTTGAGTTGGGGTGGTTTGGTGGGTGGTGCAGAACGGGTGCAGGCATGGAGCTGCACAAACAGAAGAGGAGGAGGAGGAGGAGGAGGAGGAGGAGGAGGAGGAGGAGGACGCCGCCGCCGCTGACGACGACAAACGTGAGCAGCAGAAACAAGGGAGCAGGATGAGCAGGAGCAAGAGAAGCAAGTTGAGGACGTCCTCCATAGACAGCATCCTGGTTCCGCGCGGGACCGAGTACCACAGACTGCGCTGCTTGGTCTTCTGGATGCCCTCCGCGGGCGCTGAGGTGGAAGAGGCGGAAGAGGAAGGGGATGAACGGGAATATGAGGAGAAGGAAGGGAGGGACAGGAGCATATGGGCATGAAGCTGAGAAGCAGGATAAACTCCGAAATGAAGAAAATAACTGCCGTGGGAAAAGGAAGGTGATCCGCCACCCCCCTTGGGCAGCCAGGCTATGAGTGCGTTTGCTGCATGACTATTACAATTATTATTATGGGTGGCATTGTTGCTTTTCGTTTTGTTACTATTGGTATTATTCTGAATATGATTAGTCGTAGTAGTATTAAGAATACTAGCATTCGCATTCGGACTAATATTACTCTTATTATTGTTAGTAGTTATCGTATCACCAGTATTAATCATATGGTTACTCTTGCGATTCGTATTGCGACACTTGTTCTTAATACTTGAGGTTGCTAGTATGGCTCTTACCCGTGTTATTACTATTACTGTTGCTCTTAGTAGGTATTATTATTCTTATTAATACTTACCATTAATACCAGTATTACTGTTGATAGTCGTATTATTCGTATTCGTAAGAATATGCATAGTAATATTCGAATTCGTATCAATATCATTGTCATTACGATGATGACGATGATGATGGTGATGCTGGTGCTGATGATGATGATGACGATGATGAAGAATATTACTGTTGGTATTGTTATCATTATGCTGTTCTTGTTGTTGTTGTTGTCCTTGAGGTGTCGTTTGTATTGATTACTGCATCTCCAGTCCGGTCTCCTAAACTGTCTATCGGGGGGCCTGCGGCGTACAGAAAAGCTACCTGGGGAGGGGGTCCCTCAAAGTCCTCAGCGATCCATTTTGCCGCAGGATTCGCACATGTATGCCACCGCACGGCCAGGAGAGCCCACGAGGCCTCGTAGACGGCTCAGGGAGGCTCCCAACCGAAAACCCAAGGCGGCCCAATATGCCACGGCCCGAGAGGCCCCCAAGATAGTTCCAAGAAAACCACAAGATGGCCGAAGAGGCCCCCGGGAAAGCCGCAAGACTACCCAGGGTCCTGAAAGGGTTCCTGGAGGGTCCCCAATGACCCTCAAGGCGGCTAGCAAAAGCCCAGGACGGCCCAAGACGGCCCCAACACTGCCCAAGAGAACCCCAAGACAGTCCAAGAGGACCCTAAGGGGCCCCCGAGAGACCCTCAAACGGCCCCCAAGAGGTCCCCAGGTAACCCCAAGATGGCTCCGAGATGTTTCGATGCACTTCGGGTTCCTCACGAAACATCTCACCAACTTTGGGACCCCCCGCGGCAAAGCGCGCAGCCTCTCAGATAGATGCTTCATAAAGTATGTGTATGCGTACACGCACGTGTTGCTCAACAACATGTATGCGTACACGCATGCGGGGGGTGGGGCAGGGGACGTGCGTGTGGGGAGAAGGGGGGAGAAAGAGAGAGAGAGAGAGAGAGAAAAAAAAAGAGACACACTCACAGAGAGAAAGATAACTAAATATGCATAGATATATGTGCATACATACATACATACATACATACATACATACATACATACACACATACATACATACATACATACATACATACATACATACATACATACATACATACATACATACTTACTTACTTACTTACTTACATACATACATACATACATACATACATACATACATACATACACACACAGACAGGCAGACAGGCAGGCAGGCAGACAGACAGACAGACAGACACACAGACAGACATATATACATAGAGAGAGGGAGAGAGAGAGAGAGAGAGAGAAACACAAACAAACACAACTAACATATGTGTTAATCAGCGATTGGGGGGTGAGATGGCAGTGGAACGGAGAGCCCCCCACCGGGACATCGGTTTCGGTTTCGTGCTCGAATCGTGCGGGCGAGGCGAGGCGAGGCTGCGTGGGCGCGCGAGAGGAATGACCTCGCCGTCGCTAGGGCGATTCGAGTGCAGCAAACCGCCCCTCCGACCCCAGTGTGCGCGCGGCGGCGCGGGGGTGTCCCGCCGTGGTGTCCTGTGGTGTCCCGCTGGTGTCCCGTCGGTGTTCCGTCGGCGGTGGGCGGACGGTGGCCCGCGGATGTCCCGCCGTGGTATCGATGGTGAGGTCGATAGTGAGATCGACAATGAGATCGCTAGAACAGGATGGACAGTGAGATCAAAAGTGAGGTCGACAGTAAGTTTGAGTGTGACACTGGTTGTGATAGCGATCGTGAGATCGATAGTGGGATCGATCGAGAGATCGGTAGTGATATCGATTGTGAGAACGATGTTGAGATCCAACACGAAATCGATTGTGAAAACGATAGTGGCATTACATCTCAGCGCAACATCGTCATCACGCGTCGTCGCTGACTCGAGGACGCGTCATCAGCATCGTCATCATCACACCCATCGCATCTGCCAGCAGGTGGTTCTTATCCCCCACCCCCCAGCCTCCTTATCGCCCGGAGGGTGGTCGTATACGCATCTACTACATACGTCGGAGACTGGGGGTTGAGACCGAAGTGCAGCGGAGACCCCACGCCAGCCACATCGGCTTTGGCTTCGTGTGTTCGTGCCGTGCGTGCGGGCGAGGCGAAGCTCCGTGCGCGGGCAAAGGGAACGAATCCGCCACCGCTGGGGCGAAGCTGGGCCAAATCATGCTGTGCCCTGCACCTCGTTGGCCGGCGGTGGCCCGTGCGCGTCCCAGCGGTGTCCCGATGGTGTCCCGATGGCGTCGTGTCCCCCTGGTGCCCCAATGGTGTCCCGATGGTACCCCGATGGTGTTCCGACGGTGTCCCGACGGTGTCCAGATGATGTCACGATGGTGTCTCGATGGTGTCCCGATGGTATCCACGTGATGTCCCGGTGGTGTCCCAGTGGTGTCCGGATGGTGTCTCGATGGTGTCTCGATGGTGTCCCGATGGTGTTCCGATGGTGTCCTGATGGTGCACCGCTGGTCCCCCGATGGTGTCCCAATAGTGTCCCGATGGTGTCCCGATGGTGTCCAGATGGTGCCCCGATGGTGTCCCGATGGTGTCCAGATGGTGCCTCCATGGTGTACTAGTGGTATACCGATGGTGTCCAGATGGTGTCCCCATGGTGTCTCGATGGTGGCCCGATGGTTGTCCCGATGATTGTCCCGTGAGATCAATCGACAAATATATCGTAAGATCGATGGAGAGTGAAACCGATCGATCGTGAGATCGATAAAAATAATTTGATCGATTGTGAAATGGATGTTGAGACCGATTGATGCTGAGACTGACAGGTTGACGGAGTGGCCAATGGTGAGATCAAGTACGAAATCTATGAACATATGGTCATGGCATTGTCCAGATGGGGCCCACAGGGTGTCCTGGTGGTGCCCACACGGTGCCCACATGGTGTCCCGATGGTGCCCCGATGGTGTCCCAGTGGTGTGATTCGTTTGCCCCCGCAGTGTCTTCAGGTGCTCCTCTAGGTGGTGTTCCGATGGTGTCCCGATGGTGTCCCGATGGTGTCCCATGGTGCCCCAAGGGTCTCTCAATGGTTCTGTGGTCGTCCCGCGGTTGCCTCGTCAGTGTCCACGTGGTTGTTTGAGGGTTATCTGATGGGCGTCGGGTTCCCAACGTCACCATCATCACAATCAGCATTTCCACCATTATCATCATAATCATCACAGCTGCCGTCAGTTGCCCCCCACACAGCCTCCTCATATATAGAGAGGGAGACAGCCACAAAAACAGCATCTCGATCAGGAACGTAACCAACGATTACCCAACCCATGCGATAGGCGTGGCAACTTCAATTGCGACGCAATGTGGTCGTGAAGCTCTGATCTGCGTATGACGCCACCTTGCTGGACACCGCAACAGACAGGAGATAGTTCAGTTGTCTATGCCGTTCGTGCATTTAGTTGCGAGAGTGCTTTGTTTAAGCCGCGCGGCAGTGAGTCCGTCCTGGGACGCAGCGCAACAGCCACAGACTCTGACCTCAGCGAGGACGCCCGACGCAACAATGAAGGCTATCTGACGCAAGGTCCACGACGAAACGCAACAGAGATCCAGTGAGAACGCGGGGGTTCGGAAACCGGATCGAAGGGAACCGAAACCTGAGCTGGGCGAAAATGTACCAGGCGAACTCGTTGTGTGTGCGTGTGCGCTCGGTGCATGCAGAAACGCGCGGGGGCCGCTGCACGCAGAGCGCGGAAGCCGCAGGAGGCCTCCAGGAAACCGCCCTGGAGACACTTCGACCGGGGCCCGAGCCATGGCCCGTTTTCACGCTGTGCCGCTACTCGCCATCGCTCGGACGTCCATTCCCTGTGCTCTTTTCGGTTTCGTGCGTGGTTTTCTCGCCAAATGATCAAGGATGCTCCTCGATGGTCCTCGCAGAGAAAAAAATGCACACGTCCGAGCGATGCCAAGGCTGCACTGAAGGTGGGGGGGGTCCCACCGCCCCGCTCGGGAGCCCGCGGCCCCCCCCCCCCCCCGCCTGGCCCGCGCAAGGTCTCAGCGCTTCCCCGGGTGGGCGGCTGCCCCGCAGCGCCCCGCCGCCGTCGTCGACCGCGGGCTGCCGCTGGCTGCCGCCATCTCCGCCGTCCTCGCCGCCATCGCCATCGCCGCCAGCAGCCTCGTCACTCAGCATCGCCAGCATCGCCAACGCCGCCCCCGACGCTGTCGCCACCGTCATCCTCGCCTTCCATCTTCTCGTCGCCATGATCGTCGCCGCCGCGGTCAGCGCCGCGGTCCCCGTCGCCGTCGAGCAGCCTCGAGCCGGAAGATCGCTTGCCCAAGCCAAACCTAACACATGTCGCCCACTCCCCCACGCGTTCGCGCATCTGGCGGAGGGCCACAAGAACATCGAAAGCAGAAACCTTCCCCTGTCAGTCTAAAGGGCACCTAGTCACCAATGCAACAATCATCACAGGGCGGGCGGCACCCTGGGAGGACGAGAGAGATTTTGATCTGCGGCGTACCTTACAGTCGCTCGGACGTCCATGCCCCGTGTTTTGTTCGACTTCGTGTGACTGTTTTTCGCA